ACTGTTTTGTTTTCCTCTCTCAGCAGCTGATAGAGTTTTCAACATTCCATTATCTCAGCTGTTTCGAATGTCTCTCTGTTACAAATAGAGTCTATTGCTGACTGTGAGTCCGAAAGTATCACCGCTTTGGTGAATTTCGTATCCAGGCAACATAATTGTCATGGTGCTATCCTAATGGCCTCTATTTCTCCTTCAAAAGCGGGCACTTCTTATGTCCCGTGGCTTCTATTTCTCCTTCCAAAGCGGATCTATTATGTCCCGCTGCTGCGTAGAAAGAGCGCGGACCTATTATGTCCCGCTGCTGCGTAGAAAGAGAAGAGGCGAATTTATTGTGTCCCACTGCTGCGTAGAAAGAGAAGAGTTCAGAGAATAGACACCACACCAACGTTGCTCGACTTTCTATGTATGACCCATCAGTGAAGACTCAACGTTGCCTGTTTCAAATGGCAGGCGTTATGATAGGTATCATTAGCCCTTTAATCCTTTGACGTTCGGCTTCCCCCATGGGTGGGGGGTACATGTATAGCAGTTAATTAATAGCAGTTCATTAGCTGTCGTACATTTATAGCAGTTAATTAATAGGAGTTCATTAGCTGTCTACATTTATAGCAGTTAATTAACAGCAATTCATTAGCTGTCTTCTTCTCTTAAACTTTGACTTCAGCTTCCCCCAAGGGTGGGGGGTATTATAGCAGTTAATTATAGCAGGTCATTAGCCGTCTTCTTGCTTCCCAGTATCTCTGGCTTTCTTGCTTGTCTTTAGAGCTGGACACCGAATCAGGTGGGTCTTCGTTGTCTTTATGGCTGGACACCGAATCAGGTGGGCCTTCTCCATTTCCTCCGTAGGTTAATAGAGGGCATGTGGGTTGAGTATATACTCAAAATCTGTGAAGGCGTTTTGCCAAGCAATCGTGTCCGGTACCTATCTGTGAAGGTGTTTTGTCAAGCAATCGTGTCCGGTACGTAGTCTGAACTCAGCAACGGCTTCGATTCTTGGCCCGCCGGGTATGTCGGAGAGTGCCACTGTCCACTATTTCTCCTCTATGTGGTAGAGTGCCACTCTCCACTGTTTTTCCTTTGTTCGAACTTTAAGTTCGTTGCAATCGGAGAGTGCCACTGTCCACTGTTTCTCATTTGTTCGAGCTCAAGTTCGTTGCACCTTGAGGTCTTGAACTCTCTTCTGATTAGTTTCCACTGTCCACTGTTTCTCCTTTGTTCGAGCTTTGAGTTCGTTGGTAACCCATTGTGTGGAAAGACATCGGGCGGTCCATGCATTGCAAATGTCCCCTTCTTAGCAAGTGTGTCAGCAAGCTCATTGCCTTTAATGCCACAGTGACCAGGAATCCATTAAAGGACCACTGTTTTGTTTTTCTCTCTGGCAGCTCATAGAGTTTTCTACATTCCTTTATCTCAGCTGTTTTGGGTGTCTCTCTGTTTCCAATAGAGTCTATTGCTCGTCCGGAAGTATCACCGCTTTGGTGAATTTCGTATCCAGGCAACATAATTGTCATGGTGCTATCCTAATGGCCTCTATTTCTCCTTCAAAAGCGGTAGTGCTATCTTAATGGCCTCTATTTCTCCTTCAAAAGCGATTTATTGTGTCCCACTGCTGCGTAGAAAGAGAAGAGTTCAGAGAATAGACACCACACCAACGTTGCTCGACTTTCTATGCATGACCCATCAGTGAAGGTTGGAGCCATTGATCTCCAGGATAGTTGACATTGATTGTCGTGAAGACTTGGAGCTGATCTGCTCTTCAGTGAAGACTTGGAGCCATTGATCTACAGGATAGTTAGGATAGTTGCATTGATTGTCTCAAGGGCCAGTGAGCGTCATTGATTGTCTCAAGGGCCAGTGAGCGTGGAGGAGTGTTTGATTTCCTGAAATATCATTGTCTGCTTAGCGAGCAGTTGGGAACACGTGTCTGCTAATGTTTCATGGGGAGAGAGAGGCTTTTTGGTTTGTCATCGGCGTGACGCTTTCATCAGTTCTATGGCTTTCTGTATTAGACCAGATTGCGTTTTGTGTCTTGGCCTATTCTCATACAGGATCAAGGCCTTTTCTTTGATAAGGGAGCATATTGTCGTGCTTCCTGTAACTAGGAGCATTGCATCAATGTATTATGGTGCTTCCTGTAACTAGGAGCATTGCGTCAATGGGTGTAATTTTATCTCTCCAGTAATTAGTCGTAAGGCTTGGTTGTGTGCCTTCTCGAGGGGTTTGAGAGTCACCTCTGTGGCTGTAATATGGCTCACAGCAATACAACATTATTGGCTGAATAAGCATCGGTAAGTGGTGTTTAGAGTTGAGCGCGCACAGCCCCATACACGGCCAGCAATTCGCTATTGGGGACTCGATCTGTTATTTTAGCAATGTGACTTTCCAAGTTAGCTTTGTGTCGAACGTCATTCCGAGA